AAAAAAAAAAAGAAAAAGAAAGGTAAAAACTCAAAAACACTCGCTTGTACAAGAAAATTTCGGAATTTTGGCTCTAATTTAGCCCAGTATTCTCTAATGGAGAGTTATTTCTCCATTGACACTCACTTTTAATCTATGCGTGTTGCATGTGGGAAAGGAGTGACTGCTGCTCTCATCTATTTTGGGGCTGATATTCCACCTAAAACGTCATACTACTAACAAAAAATTGTCTTAAACCGCAAGTTGAGTGCATTCGTCTCAAATATGCATTGAAGAACCTGACATACAGAATAAGGTTCTTGAAAGGCATAGTGATATACCTAAAACGCAAGTTTACAAGAATTATGGTGTTACTAAACTCACTGCCACCTCCTTCTAAAACGTTGTTAAAAATCCATCCTAACAAAAAATTTTTAAAACGAGTATGACGGTTGACGCAGACAACGTAAAAATAGAGTGCTCTTTGAATCTGCATCAGAGACTGGCTTCTTAAACTTTAAGACAAACCATATTAAACATAAGTGCTAAAAAGTTACTGCTCCACCTAGACAAGAAGAATATTGCAAAGCATTCAAGTGCCGCTTTTTTAAAATAACAACCAAACAGAAATAAAAACCATAAAATACGACCTGCAGAAGGGACAAAGCGCGGCACGAGTAATGAATGGAAAGTGTTAACGAATTCAGTAATGAGCAGACAGGAACCAAACAATGGAGTTACAGCTCCAAACTCGACAGATGGTATTACAGGCAATGGCCTCAAATCCGGAAGCAACTGTTCGTCGAGTTTCTGCAAAAAAAAGGAAAAAACTTCAAAACGACTATTAGTAATGGCATCCAAAGTTTCCGAAGTTAATCTGAAAATGGTTAGGGTTCAACAAACTAAAAATTTTCAGTTCCTTCCTCATCCTGAATTGCTAAAGAAAAAACAGTTTTAATTAAGGAATACCCTTGAAAGCAAAGAATCCAACTTATGCTCTTCGTCACCATAATTTTTCAACCTTTCTCGCCTCTTGTCCAACATGTACGCTTTTCGTTCCGCCGCCGACATTTTCAAGCTGGAAATAAGACCAAGGTAAAAAAACTAAAATCACTAAAACATCAAATGAGGAATATTTAAATGAGGTTATAAAGCGTAGTCTTTTTGAAAAGCACCATTATTACCCCTTAAAAAATGAAACCAACTTCCTTGTTACCCAACACTGTTTTTAAAAAGCAATTACAGCTCCACCTCGCCGTCACATCTTTTTTGTGATCGCGATGTTTAAGAAGAGCGTAGCGAATTTCCTCGTAAGGAATTTCTCGGATTTGGCTTTCTGAGATCACATTCAACGCGAATTCACAGGCCTGTTGAAACTCCTTATGATCTGGGACGGGAAAAAGTTTCACAATGCGCAACAAAGCGTTGTCTAACCGCTTCTCTGCCGCACTTCTTGGTGACGGTATGACAACACTAGGGCTCGAAGTGCCAGGCGAAGTGACCAAGAATTTGTACATAGACTGAATTGAGATTGTTGATTGAAATTTTATTCTATCAGTATAAGTAGACGTTGCAAGGAGAACCATAAAAAACATACCTTTTGCAAGCCACTAGTAAGGGATATTTTCTTGAGTACAGTAGGCAATCCTCTATCCCCCTTCTTCTTTACTGATTCATGCTTTAACTGCTTCTTCTCCTCGCCCTCTACAACGGTACAAAAATTTAGTTTTCAGAATATGCTCTTTTATCAAATTCCGTTTGAAGTAAGTATCACAACTATTAAAGCACAACTTTTATTTGTGTTAAAGGTTTTGAAAAGCAAAGATATATTTACTTTTTCCGCGTCTCTTGGTTTGAATCAACTCCTCTTTTTGTTTCTTAACTAAAACGCCTGACCGTCTAACGGCGGCAGTTGATTTACCTACTGCATCCGTATTACCAGTGGTAACACCACTAATCATATCACCATTCAAACTGCGAATGGACTTCCCAGATGAAAACCGACACTGTAAAGACGCAGTAAAAAACATTTACCGTTTTCACAAACGATAAGCATTTAAACCAAAAGCGTAATCAAGTGCATTCCAAGAAAACAAAAAAGTATTCAAGAACAAGCCCACGGCCATACCTCCCTCCCCGCATATCAGATCCCACATGGACTAGTATCAGGAATTTGAAAATTTGAAAATTTAAGACTAACCTTCACCAGCTGAGAAGGATTGAGGAAAATGTAGAATTACCTTTGTAAATAATGAGTGTACTTTATTAGAAATCTTAAACTCCATCCTTATTGGTTCTTCTAAACACCAAAAGTTGGTGCCGTTGGCTTTATACGCAGTTAATGATATGAGAGTCGAAATGTCATCAAGAGTGAGAGCTCCAAGACGCCTAGAACCCGCAAGATATCACTACGAGTACAACAGATGAATCCATTAAGGTGGACAAAAATTGTTTACTTTATATCCTTCGATGGAATACCACGCACAATATCGCTCCCACTGCAAGCTGTAACTGCAATATCGTAACGTTTTTCGTTTTCCTTCCCAGAAGAAGTGGAACCGTTTTGCAGAGTACGAATAATCTGCCCCTTCGATTGCCTAAATTATTGGTACGAAAAAAAAAAAGAAGTGATGTATTTAAAGGTAGAATAAAGTGATGCAAAGTAAGCCAAACCGCCCATGACGTGAGAAGGAGACATTCTCGCCATCGTAAAAGTTTTCCAGTAGATAATGATTGATTTCCTCAATTAAGTTTTTTTCTGTACGGAAACCTGAAGTGGTCATATCACATCAAAGAAGCTTCAATTTCATGCACTAAAAAGACTAAGCTCTAAAAAAATAATAAGCCAAATGACGCTGACCTATCTGCAGGTTCACTTAAATACTGAGACATCACAGTCAATAATTTAAAACCAAACAGCAGGGTTATCAGTGGTTCATCATAACCTAAACCAATTAAAAACAAATTTCGATGCACTCTTTTACTTACTGTGGTGTACCAGCTGGAGGATATCATGCAGCAATCCATTAGGTATTCTATTACGGATTTTCTGTAGCGCTGTTCTTTCCTCATCATACGCTTCTTTGAAGGAACGTAAAGGACCGTTTTTTTCATGCCTGCACTTCCAAATTACTCCTTGATACTTAATTAAATTCCTATCTGGTCCCCTACAAAAATCAAACCTAATTTAAAAAACCACATAGTAAAGCCTGATGCTCAAGAGTTACCTGTAGAAAATGCATTCATAAATTTCTGGAACCATAATCAGTAGCAAGCAATTTTTAATACCAATAAAATTAAGACAAAACCCGCAAAAAAAGAATGTTGTTTTCTTACGCCTGTACTTAGTTTTTTTTTTCTATTTCTCGCACAGCCAGGATACTGATTTCTTAGGAAAATGAATGTAACCATTATCAATCGCTAGTAACCATTATCAAAACATCTTCAGAGCGGCTATACAAGACAAGTGCTATCAGCTGGGTAACTCTTCAAACGATAACTCTAACAGGTTATGACAACTGCCACAGCTTTCATCCACTGAACTACTACTAAACTTTAAAAACAAAAAAATTGTTGTAGGCAGATATTAGAACCACCAAAAATATAACTGAAGTTCCTCGACCAAATCGGTTCCAAAATAAGATAAAGAAAGAAGTACTCTCTGACTCGGACGCCCTCATTAATCCTGACAAGCCGTCAATCAGGCAAGGAAGGTGAAAATGAGATTGGAGTAAAATGTGGTTACCTTCTTCTCAGATGGTCAAACACTCTACACTTAAGGATTGAACAAAGTGTCAGCTGTAAATTAATCAAAGAACCCTAATGGCAACACCTTCACACCTTATAATAATAACGAGAGGATTTATACTCTGCCAAACATGGCTTACGTAAATATAAACTGATAGTTTGATGGGCCACACAAATACTGCACAAAGACCCCAAACCTTCACTTCCATGGTGAATAATTCTTATTACAACACTACCAAATAACTTACCAGAAGTAACGCCACCTAAGGAACATTAACGCGACCTATGAAGTAATAAGTAAAAACTAACCCTTTCAGCGCAGAATTCTTGACTGTTTCTAGAGGAACAAATTTCCCTGCCGCATTATCAGGTGTTTCTTGCCAAAGAATTCCATCAGCAACTGGCATTGCTACCAAACTACTACGGTGGAGATCCTTAGAATTGACGCCAATTAGCAAAAGCAAAGTTTATGCAACGATAGGGCAGACAAACCACACTAAACCTGTAACAGGTTTTGTTTTAATAAAATAAGTTAACCCATCTTAGGTGCATGACAGCTAATGTGACAGTCCTCAAAACCTTACAAGCTTTAACACATAATTACATACCAATATTGCAGAAAAGAAACAACAATCATGACTTTGAAGTATTTACTTTAAAACAAATACCAGGCAAATTTATTCACGTTGGTCTCGCATTTATGACGAGCGAAGAGCTACGCACGGAAACACGCATTAAAATGAGTACAGTCTCATGATGTCAATCCTCCCTGTATTATCATGGAAACATTAAACCCTCAAGACCTGGTGAGTCACGTTCGATGCTTATAACCTTTTCAAATACTAAAAAAAATATAGAAAAAAATCTAAAGTCGTTAAGATTTTATTAATTTAGAGTTCGTGACGCATATATAAATAAGGCCTACAAACAGCAAAATTCTGAGGAGGAACTTAAAAATAAAAGAATTAGAAGTTCTAAGAAGACGATTAGGAAATCTTTTACAACAGCACCTTATTGCAAAACGTAGGCAGATGACATGAAGAAAACTCAGTTCTTCAAAACTAGAGAGGTAAACGGAAGAAATGCACTGGAAATTTAGAACTTAGAAAAAATTCACCGTAACCAAATATTGACAGCCGAAAATAAGCAACCCTACTCAAAAAGACTATTACAAGATAACGCCTGACTTTAAGACAAAACATGTTTACCTTAAAATTTCTATAAAAGTTCTAAAACCAGAACCTTTCTCAACAAATTGTAAAGCAGACTGTTCGGGAAAAAAAGCGGTCCTACCCACGTAGACTGGAACCTGAGCACTGACAAGTATATAACTCCATAAATAAAAAGCTCTAATTCTTGAAAGTGAAGACCAATACTTCCATGTAGAGCCTGGTCGAAGCACTTAAAAAGGACTCAAACAACTTGAAAGCAATGAAAAAAAAAATGTATTACCTCGAGTTTGAAAAAGATTATTTTGTAAAAACCTGTTCCACAGACGAAAAAAAAAGGATCAAGCATATTTATCATTACTTCGCTACATTCAAATATAATGGCCAAAATGGGGAAGCAGTTTCAATAATTATACTACATACCAAAACATCCTTTCACCAGTATATCAAAGTTCAGGACTTGTAAAATTTGTTTCCATAAAATTCCGATACTTTAAAAATAATTTCTGGATAGCCAAATCTGCTCTAATGCTTTGCCACTTAGACTTAACAAGTCTTCTCTACCTCTTTTCCACCGTGATATACTGAAGCACAAGAGTTTAAAGCTAATAAGTTTTAGCTAATTTCCTCCACAGCCTCCCAAACTGTTCTGAATTAATGCTTGTTATATTGTAAGCCTACTTTGCAAACAAACTTGAATGACTGACTTGTATTGGCCCCGAGTTACGAAACTGATCGTTTACAGTTTCCTACGCTGCAAAAAATTGAAAGGCTGTGAAAAAAAAAAAAAAGAAAAGTTTGATTTTCTAAAACACAAAACATACTTCTTATCAGTTAAGCAACAGGAGACAGCTTTCCACTAACCATAACATTAAAAGTATGCTAAGAGTAAAATAGGCAATTGAAATGAGGAAGAAAAAATTTCTCATTTGCGTATTCTAATCGAAAAATAGAGTGACGAAAGTGTGTTGGTAAAATTAGTTTCTTCGTGTAAACTTCTTCTTATGGTTCCAAAAGAAACCTTCAACTAAATTAATCTTAACAGTAGTCTTGTGGCAACTGTAATATTCTGAAATTCGGCAGATTACAGTACAATATTCTAACCTGCAGCAACATATCCGACCCTCTGTAGTATGTGGATCAATATTACTAGTGCCTTTTGTTCAATTAGACAAGAAGTATCTCGGTTAATGTTACAGCCATTACAAAAACAACAATATAAGTATTAAAAAAGTGACTTTTAATAATTTAAAAAGAAAACGAAATAAAATTTGAAAATTGCAAAAAATACACAAAAAACTTCTGAAAAGCAAAATTTATTCATTGGTGTTTCCAAAGTTCCGGTATTATGATTTGGAGTGATGATTAGGCAAAATGTAATACACTGAAGAAACCAAAGAACTGATATTAGTGAAGAAAAAAAAAAGTAGTACTCGTTGTGGCCAATTCTGCATAATGTGTCATGAGCAGATACTGTATGACTGGACGATTGTACAGACCAATAACACTCTAGTAGAATGCTGAACGTAGAAAAAAAAACAGGATTGATAATCTTCAGAACTAATTCATGCATAAAAATATGAAGCAAACAAAACAAAAATATGTATATATTATCCCCTTTCCCACCTAAACGTACATATAATTCTACCACTTGCACCATCATATTTACGTTAAATTAAAACAACAGTTTTGAACAGCATTTCTAAGCATTACAGCACCCCAACCTGTTGTATTCTCCCTTCAAATTCTTTGTCTTTCAATCGAACAGATGCTTTCTGCGCTTAAATTTGGCGCCCTGAACTTGACACACTTTCCCGCCCCAACTTCTTTCGACGAAATTCGTTTCAATGCAACAGAAGGAATGATTAATTGCAGCTATATATTTATCTACAACTCGGTAATGCATATGATGTTCCAGAAACCACACCATTACAGTAACCGCACTAAGCTGGATAAATATGCTTGCAATATTTCGTTTATTCTTTAGCATTCCTGATAATTTTGTTTGCTAATAACTGTAATTACACGGTGAAACAGATTAACGGCCTGAACAAAAAACTGCTAATATTCTTGTAGGTTCCAAAATAACCTACGAAGTAGACAGGTGAACACTACTGATGATGACGTTGAATTAATAATGACGAATATTTTATTTCCGATCGAAAAAACTTTATTTAGTCACACTTATTAATGTTTCATGCTGGATACAGAATGCTTCTTTAAAATCGTATAGCCAGTTTAAATCAAACATGTGTAACTTATTTAACCCAGCAAAGTCAAACGACACGTTGCAGTGTCTGACTCGGAAATAACCAAGTGGTTGTCTACTTATCCAAGAAATGCGATCATAAAGAGAATAAATTGGCTGTGCATTATACGTGAATATCTCAAATTTGATAAATACCACTTTGATCCATAGAGAATTTTCTTTTTGAAGATAAATATGTTGTATATGGATAAGACCATGAGCAATTTCTGGATGTACTAATGACACTAACTAAGGTTGATCAGATAATGAAAGGGTGACCTGTAATAAAACTACTGAAGTAGAGTGAATTATGAAAACTAAAGTAAAACCAGAAGATTACCGGTATCTTTATTATAAACATTTCCAATTTACATAACAACTTAAATTTCTTCAAAATTTGTTTCTTAAATAATAGATAATTTTGTTATTAGTAGCAGCTGAAATCTTATGGGAAACCTCAATGATTTTCCAACTGACAATTATCTTTATCTTTAGCAATGCAGAGCCGTCCTTGCATAGAGAATTGTAGAAAGTAACAAGAAGAAGAAGGTAAAAAGTTTCATTTAGTAAATATGTATTTTTTCATAAAAATAAGGCCGTCACAGGGCACGCCGATAAGAGCAGAATTT